ACGTGTCAAATAAAGATTGGAATTTAACTTTACACGCTTGGAACACACTATTGGAAACTGCAAAGCTTTTACAGTTTAGTTTTCACAGTAAAGTAAAACAAACTTTTGTAGTATTAAACCGCAACTTTATAGAAACGTTGAACAAACAATTGCTAAAGGTAACTGACGTAAAGTACTCAGAAAATAAACCTTTTCTGGCCACTTAACGTGTTTTCACATTGAATTATAACAATATGTCAATTAGTGTATGTTTCTTATATGTTGTATTAAGAGTTATAATAATTAATTAATATACTTATTATAAGTTACTTCAATAAATTTATATAAAATGAAATTATGTATTGTCCGTAGTTAACTCGTAGTTTATATTTAAATAAACGTAAATGGTTAAAACCTAAATATATTAAGTAATTTATTTTTAATTAAATTTAACTATGCATACATGACTGTTCCAGTGACAACATCGGGGGTTGTTAAAATAAATTAATAATATGTCGTGTTGTAAACGTTAAAGGCATTTTTTATCATAAGTAAGGACATAAAATAATAATGAAATAAGTGTAATGTTTAAAATGTGAAATGGTTTCGTTCATTCATTTTAGAATCCCTCTCGACTAAGGCTAAATTGTCAAAAGTGTTTAGATTTCAAGTACATATTTATTTGTAAACAAATAAAACTAGTTAACCATGGGAATATATTTTATTTTAAATTATGAGAATACAAAGCAATAGCACATAAATATATTTCAAATGACTAAAGATTTAAATAAATTGTAGCCGAATCAGTATGAATCAAACCTTACTTTCACAAAATCCTAGTGTTAGTACGTGGGTTGCCCTTTTTGCATTCTTTATGCGTTCCTTATGAGGACGTGTTGACTAGCCCGTGAGTAATGTTCAAATAAGAGTTATAACATTAAGAACGAGAAATTAATTTAAAACGTGTAGACTCTATTTGAATTGCGTCATAGAAATACATGTTGTTGTACAAATTACAGTAATACTTACAATCAGAGACAATTTTATTTTTGTTTTACAAGAGAATTTTACGATTTAAAGCGCGGTATATATTAGGAAAAACTTATTTTAACTACGGCTCGACGTTTCGGATGCCTTTCAGCAGCTGTGTCACGCGGAGACTTTGAAGTCAAATAAGTTTGAGTAATATATATCGCGTTTTAAACCGTTAAAGTATTTTATTTACAAGTGTATTACTCACGTAAACTACAGACAGTTTTTATTTATATAAGTATTATCAATAAGTAATTCAATTAAAATAGTTCTTATGTTGAATTTTTTGAAAAAATAAATTACCGTCCGTAACGTCGAATTATATTCATAAAATTTAAAAATAAGGGTATCAATATATTTCGTGTTTGGAACCTTTACAAATGTGATCACGTAAACTATGCACGGACTTAATATGAAAAATATTAAAATGTTACCAATCGTATTGACCATAAAATGATTTAAGATAAATTAAATACAAAAGTGTTTAAAAATGATATCTACTTTTTACAGTAGTAACATTTGACGTCGGTACCCAATTACTGTTATTTTTAATAACTTTATTTTATATATATATTATATATATATATATATATATATATAAAGTTATTCCAAACCAAATATAAAATGTGCCTAATTGTTTTATCGCATTACACACTCAATCTGGCGATGATTTACAAATCGTAGCGTCGTAGCAAATTGTAGATGTCTCGTAGCTGTGCTACCAAGTGCAGACGCGACCGTGGTTACGTCTCTGCTACGGTTACAAAGACCTCGACCGGATGGGATAAAGGCACGGATTAGGTTAGGAAAAACATTTTATTATATGCTTAGCTACAATATTATATAACTAGCTGAATCAGCGACTTCATCCGCGTAGAATAGTTATTTTGGGCATCCAAAATTGTTTTTGCTAACTGTCCTAACTTACGTCATCGGTCGCTTGCCGTCGCTCGCGACCCGTCCTTTCCCGTTCCCGTTGTTGTTGCGAGGTTATCTTAAGAGATGGGCATATACCTACTGTCGCGGACATTTTTATTGTCATAATTTGAAGAAGAATTATTCTCTCATACATATTATTGTGTTACTTGAACCGTTTTCGCAGCGTACGCATCGGAAACCTAATGCTATATTTCAATAAAATAAACTATTAACAAACCTCAAAAGTAGGGTCTAGAGGTACTTGTGTTTTTTGAGGAGATCACAAAAGCAAAGCATTTGAAACTTTGGATCGTAGACGAAATAAAGTTCAATAATAGAAATAATAACGTGTTATAAACCGGTAATGTATTAGTATCAGTGAGTAGATATGTTACCTACAGACAATATAATTATATTGTAGTCATTAGCTAATTATTATTTTATACTACATTTGTTTTTATATGAAATCCAAAATATATTCATAGAATTTGTAAAGCTATTTTAAATTATAATTTTAATGTGTATATATAGTTATGTGTACTGACGTCCTTAATGTATATACGTATAGTCCTACTCTACTTCATAAGTTGATTTAACAAATTATGCAAATACAATCAAATGGAAAATAGATTTGCCAGAACCAGACTGACATTCAGTCTATGTATACTCTAGATATATAGTCATAACCCGACTGATGCGCCGTAATTAACAATTACGGTTAAACGCAAATCAGGCAGTGGTTTCAACCTCATTTGTACAGATCAGTGATTGATCATGAAGCTCTTCATGATCAATCACTAATAAACCAATATGTAACTTAACGTTATTTGTACCGTTATACGTAAAAAAACGATTGATAAGCTTTAAGTAAATGACACGTTACACGACAGTAGTAAGAGCTATTTGAAATTATAGAAAAATTAAACACTCTCTGTAGTTACACATTTAAATAAAATACTTTAACGGTTTCAAACGCGATATAGATTAGTTAAATTTATTGGAGATTATTTTAACAGCCCGCGCGACGGTTCGGATGCAGTCGTGGTCCACATCACCATGGTTAATGCAAATTTCTGCAAAACATTTCCAAATAAGTATGACTAAAATATATCACGTTTTAAACAGTTAAAGCGTGTCATTCAAATGATAGAAATATGTTTCCGTCGCGTCTGGCCCTGTCGTGTGATTTAAGTGGTTTATAGAAAAAACAGTGTAAGGTACAAATGCGTCTGCTTCATAAGACAAACCTCAGTGTGCGGTCCGATTGATACAAATAATTGCAATTATAAAACCTTTTTTAAATTCTAATCAAACACATTCAATAATATTACATCGCTATATTATACATTTTACTTGTAAGGGATGATTAAGATAGAATGAATAAACAGTGCAGAGTAAAGCAGTAAAACTTTGGTGCCATATATTTATTATGTTAATACTTGGGCGTTAAAGTTGAAAACAATTTGATGTCAATAAATTTTACACATCCATTTTTAAGCTACCTTAATACGCTTTACCCGGCATATCGATATCGCATTATGGAAGGTGATAGATGACGTAACTATAGCCTTGTCCAACTGAGCGCGTTCCAAGTTCGAAGTTACTTTGTAAAGGGACTGTAGACTTTTAATTATAGCTTTTATGGTTTCCACTTATCTTAAAAAGATTCATGAAACTTGCAATGTTTTAATATATTTTAAATTTGATGAAGTTTTGATAATTCATAGGTATTTAAATAAAACACTTTAACGGTTTAAAACGCGATATATTAGTTAAACTTATTTGAAAATGATCTTTTACTTAGGCCCGACGTTTCGGATGCTTTGCAGGAGCCGTGGTCACGGGGAGCACAAACGTCGGACCGAAGTTAAAAATAATTTTCAAATAAGTCTAACTAATATATCGCGTTTTAAACCGTTAAAGTGTTTTATTTAAATGTGTACTACTCGCGTAAACTATAGACAGTATGAATAGGTATAGCAATTTGTAACTATAAATTTTAGAAAGATTGTTTAGCGTTATATGTAGTTAACAGGTGTAGTAGAATAGAAAAGAATAGAAGACGTTTATGTTGAAACAACGCAAGACATTTAACAAAGATAATATAGAAAAATTACAAATAAAATATCACTTTACTAAGTACATATAAAGGAGTCCACTCAGCTACGCTGGACTATTGTCCCAACACTAATATTCCGTGGTCTCTTCAGAGTAAACGTTCAAATAAAATATTTAACGGTTTGAAACGTAAAATATGCACCAACAATGTTACATTTCTAAAATTTGCGACCTTTAGTATTAAGCGATATATATTGCTTGTTAAACCATTATAAATATAAGAAAATGTGTTTAATAAAGTTTTAATTGTTTTAAGATTATGCACAATGCAGTTTATTAGAAATAAGACCTGTACTTTATGAAAACGTCAAAAAATATCGAATATTTTTGGAGAGTTGAAGCTTTGTAAAAGCACTAGTTGTCTGCATACGTAAAATAACAGTCGCAATGACGGTCTGAATTTTTTTACGAAATTTAGATAAACATTTTTGAATTTTCTAATTACATCGCTACATTTTTATGTGGCAAACCTAAGTTTTTGTTAGTATTTTGACATTGTGTGAGAGAATACACAATGCTATCTAAGTTATTATTCTTACTTAGGACATTAAACTGCTGCATCTATTTGAATAGACGATAAGCTCATTGAAACTAAACTCTTATCGATATTGTTTACGCGTGAGATTGTTTCATCTTAATTAAAGGTTAGGGTAATTTTAATCTCCGAGTCTGATGTGTCAAAATTCTTTTGTAGATTTTATCTTCAAAGGCTTAAAATTTACGAAAGAATTGGCACAATATAATATTCTTAAATTTTTGTTACAAAATTATAAAAACGACCAGTAGTAATTAAAATTTAAAAATAAATTTCAGTATTATTTTAAAAAAATTGTATAAATCGTAAAAAAGAATATGAATAGTATGAATGAATATACATTTTTTTATTGTTTTATTTTACAGTATTTATTTTTAATTTTAACGGACAGACAAAATTAGAAAGATTACTTATCTACTCAAGTAAGAAGACACAACAGACTTGAGTATTTATATGTGCAAGCTTTATCCCGTGTTTCTTTTTCAAAATTCAAGGTCCTTCCACCCTGCCACCTGAGGCAATAGGCAAGGGGTGAGCGCCATTTGCGCCCAGACTCTCGGCCGGGATGGGCGTCCCGCGACTCAGTAGCACCGCACCAGCTGAGCCTGAGCTCGGGCGCGCGAGACGTCCGCACTTGTTGCTCGTCGACGACTCGCGTGAAGCACGCCTCAACGAAGGTTAGTGCCCTTTGCATTTCAACTTACAAATGTTCGTATTCATTATTACAAAAGCACGGTACAAAACAGTATTGTATATTACTTTGTGTGAGGGAAATTATTCTTTTTACGAAACTATGAAGAGGCTTTTGCATACCTTTCTTTTTTCACCCTAAGAATATTTTCATTTTCAAAAGTGATGTGAATACGTCTGGGGCATATAAAAATAAAACATTTACCTGGTTGTTGACGGTTCTGGGAAACGTCGGGTCTTTTAACTAATAAATTTCTTCCAATTAACCGTTAAATGTATGATATTTAAATTACACAATAGCCATAAACTATGAACGTTTATTGATTTCGCGTCAATATTGAATCACTTTGTGAAATTTTAACAAAATAATATTTATGTTTATTTTTTAACGACCATGCACTTGACGTCCTTTCTTCTTTATTTTATAAATTTACTTGTTGTGGGTTTATCAAATTCGTAGTGATTTCGATTTCAATTTCAATGTGAGTGAATATTTTTTCACGAAAATCTCCTTGTCTTGGTCTTACCACATTATTATTTGCGGAACAAATTTTACTTCTACATGAAACTGGTTTCTTATGTTATATATATATATAATATTTAGACATTTACTAACTCATTCCTTACTTATTGCATATTTGAAATTTAAAAAATACATTACGTATTTCGTTTACTGAATAACACATATTTGTAACAAAATCTTAAAAATTTATGCAAAAAAGAATTAATTTATATCCAATTTTAATACGAAGTTTAAATTTTAAGAGATAAAACTAAAGCTCTAAAGCGTTAATGTGAACGTTCATTATTGTGTATTGAAATCAGTTTTAAAATTTAATTAATGCACAAAGGACTTTTCGCTATTGGATTTTCATACTTTTTATGAGTCTACAATTTAAACAAAATTTTTGATATAAACTTGTATATTAATGGATTAAACATTCTATTTCGTTAATATGTTCAATATTGTTTTATAAGACATAAAATTTAAATGTGTAGGTATTTTAAAATTAATTAGATAAGAAACGAAGAGAAAATGGAAACGCACAATTACGTTTTGCTGTAAAAATTATTTGTGGGCCAGAGGGTAGACATACTTCTGCACCCGTTTTTCTGAACAAGTTTAATAACAGAAGATGTTGATTTAACTTATCGTGAAACCCGAGTTTAAAATTGAGCCCGACTTGGACTCGGATTAACTGAGCTATCTGTGAAGACTGTTTTAATGTATTAATTTTTTGTCATCCAAATAAAGTTTGTTGTTTGACGTTTGTAATATAACAATATGCTATTTACATCGAATAAATCAAAACTCAAATAACATTGTAAAGTTGCCCACCCAGCTAATAGTAAATATTGTAATAAAATACGAATTGAGCAGCCAATATCAGACACAATTTTAACGAAACTCATCGCACAGCAATTATAATCTAACTTCTACTAATGGACCGTCCATTTATTACAACTTTGCATATACATTCTGTAGTCCAGTCCATTTCGGATGTGAGGCGAATTTCAAGCAAGTTTACGAGCTATAAAGCAAAACTACAAAGTAAAAGCTAATATAGCTTACACATATGTGTTTATGTTAACTGCAGAAAGCTTTGTCATTTTTAACTAAGAAAAAACCCTGTTAAAAGAATGCGTATTTAGCATGATGTAGACATATTTGAGTGTCCGTTGTGCTGACATTTTTTTAAGAATAGTCTCGGTAGAAGATGTTCAGCACTTATTTACTCTGCATAACCATTTTTTTCTTTTGGTTTTGAACTTATGACGACTGTAGCAGCCCACTTAACTATTTAGCCATCGTGCGGTCACCTGTAACCTTAACAAAATAAGAAAAATGTTGTTGTAATCTTATCTCTAGTTACTTTTTAGATAATGATTTATAAGTTAGGAGGTAATTTTGCTTCACCGTTTTAAGTCTGCGCTTTCTTGATAGAGGAGGGCAGATGAGCGTGGGTTTCACTCTGGTAGGTGAAATTGACCAGCCAAATCATACCTAAACAAGATCCGATGTCGTTCTATTTTGGCTAAAATTTTTTCATCGATTGTAACCCGGATCCAACATGTTTCAACATTTAAATAAAACACTTTAACGGTTTAAAACGCGATATATTAGTTAAACTTGTTTGAAAATGATTTTTAACTTCGGCCCGACGTTTCGGATGCTTTGCGGTAGCCGTGGTCACGGGGAGACATATATATATCGCGTTTTAAACCGTTAAAATGTTTTATTTAAATGTGTACTACTCGCGTAAACTATAGACAGTATGTTTCAACATGTTATAAATTGATTAGAAATATGTTCGACCCGGTATCAAACCCGTTGATGATTAGCCATACAATATTTTACAATAAAAGTAGCTTTGGTTTAAATATCATACGTATGTACGTGATATCTTATCGAGAGGATGTTGATTTCCTTTGTCGCGTGTGACCTTGAAATGAGCGATGCAGTCATAGATTTCCTCTACATTATACTAGTTATTGCCTCGGTTTTGCATTTGCAGAAAGATAGAAATTAAAATTATTGTGCATGTATACGAAATCCAAAGTGAACTTTGTCTGGTCTGCCTCCTTTATTATAAAAAATGTATGTTGAGAATTAAGGCATGAACTTTGTAATGACGTTGTGCATTCAAATATTAACAATAAAAAACTTCAAACTAAAAAAGTTAATATAATACATGTAAATTAAAAATCGATTATATTTTTTTTTAATTTTACGGTTATAATTACATTGCGCAAGAGGTGCATGTATCAACAATAAGTTAAAAAATTCGAGGATGACGACACGATAGCTCAATTGGTTAGAACAATAGCACGGAACGCTGTGGATGCCGGTTCGAGTCCTGCCCGTGTTATAAATTTGATTTTCGAATAAATTTTTAAATTATATAGCGCGATCATGTACAACATGTGAAAAATATTAATGTTTTCAAATATAATACTGGTTTTTATTCGTTCAATACAGTTTTATAATACTCTGTAGACACAAGTATAGATTGAAAAAATGTTGAACATTAAAAATAATAGAACAAAATCTTAAAAAGATTAATGCCGGGATAAATACTAACCATTACTTTAACTGACTGTCATTAGTTAGTTTAAATGCTTAAACCTTACAAATGATTCTCGCTGTGTAATTTTCAAGGATTTTTGATAATACCCCATTAAGGATGACACCTGCCACTCGACAAAAGGGTGTTAGTCTAAGAGACGACTGCGCGTATTTGGAATATAATCTATCGATCACTATTAACGTGGAATAATATTGGTATTATATTTTAGTAATTGTAGTTTCATGACTTAGTAGGTCTAATAGCAATGTATGGGTCATCGATCCTTACCGGGTCAAAGTGTTTCTAATCAATGTAAGATTTTTCTTAAATATTTCGGACTCCATTTCTTTTTATACATTAGATGAAGTCCATGTGTGAGATGCAAGATGCGTTGTCGATCTATTTCGAGCATTTAGAAATCCACAGACTGAAACCGAAACGTGATTAAACTTGATCGGTTTTTAAATACTCGTGACCTGTACAGAATTTCGATATCACTGCCATTTAATTTCTAAGTTCGTAGACGTAACGAAATATGATTTTATTAGAAACATATTTGACCCGAATCAACGAATTGTGGGTTTGGTCGAACCCACAATTATGATCATCGCTTGTTACCATTAGACCATCGAATTTGTCAAACTATAGTATCTATTTATATAATAACTATACTTAAATTAACACTATTTTATATACTATACAAAATAAAAAATAAAATAATGTTAGTTCCATTACCTATAGTAATTGATATGGATTGTTTTTTGATATTGGTAAAAGCTAAAACATTTATTTTTCTACTTTGACGTCAGAGACACCCTCCAGTTTTAGTCTCCCCGTGACCACGGCTCTGCATCCAAAACGTCGGCCCATTATTAAAAATAATTTTCAAATAAGTTGAAACTAGTATAATATATTGTATTTAAATGCCTACCGATTAAACTATAGTTATTATCAAAAGGTACTTTATTTAATTCATATAAAATATTTAAATCTTCTCCCGATACATTATTAGCTCTTAAACTATTAATTACAGGGCTCAATGGTGTGGAGCCCGGAGAAAATCGTTTTTCGTATGGAAATAATTTTCCACTCAGTGCGCGTTAATTAGCGGCTATCTTTTTTAATTATGCATTACGTTATCTCACGCCACCGACGATATGGATTACCTCAACGTAGATTGAATTTTATTAAAATTACTTTTAAACGTCAGATATAATTTTCATCCATGTGTCTTAGAAACACAGCGTAATGCGTAATCGAAATAAGAGCGTGCACGGAGATGTCATAAAGTGATTATAGTATTCAAGTTATTGTATTTGAGTAAATGTGTCCTTACTATAATTTAGTCTAAAATAAGAAATTATTGCTTGCGTAAAGTCAGCAGAATGTAAAGTGAGAATATTATATAGGTCTGTAAAGCATCCGAAACGTCGGGCCGAAGTTAAAAATAATTTTTAAATAAGTTTAACTAAAATATATCGCGTTTGAAACCGTTAAAGTGTTTTATTCAAACTATATAAACATACAAAAACAGAAATAGAAACAAATTTCTGTCCCTTTTTTATTAACTTATTATGACTTGGTAAGATCCTACATGCACTCTCTAAGCAAAATATTTTTAAATCACGTGAAAAATATTCGCGTTTCAAAATATATTTTTGTCTCATTTCCCCACGAATCAAGCTCTCAGTCAATTATATAAATATAAATAATATATAAATATTATTTAAATTTAAATTTTATTTGAATTAAAAGCATTATTTACATTAAATAGTTTTGATTTAGATAAATTATAATAATAAACCATACCACCCAATTCAGCAGACTTTTACATATCTTGTTTTAATATTTGAACCATTGCTATCTCACCAAACGCAATGACTCAATGGAATTACTATATCAAAACATAATATATTCCCATCCAATTGTTAATTCA